ACAACAGTATTTAAATCAGAGAGGTTTTATGGTGATAACATGAAATATTTTGTGCCAAGTACCTGGGACATAATAAACAAAATGATCTTCCTTTTTCTTGCAATCGAAGTAATGGCGTATCATTATAATTGTGATTAAATGCCACTGAGTACTAATTCATAGCAACTCTGTGTACAACAGAGTGAAACAGTGTCCAGTCCTGCACCATCCTCACAATTGTTATGTTTGAGCCCATAATTACAGACACTGGATCAATCTATCTATCTTTGGTGAGGGATTTTCTCTTTTTCCCTCCTCTTCTACTTTACCAAACATAATGTCCTTCTTCAGGGAGTTGTCTCTCCTGATAATATGTCTAAAACACTAAGACGAAGTCTTGCTATCTTAGCTTCTAAGGAACATCCTGGCTGTTCTTATGAGACAGATTTGTTTGTTCTTCTGGAAATCCATGATACTTTCAATATTCTTCCCTAACACCAGAATTCAAATGCACCAATTCTTCTGCTGTCTTCCTTGTTCACACCTTAAACCTAAAAGTGACAATTTTGCTCAACATATTAAAGGTCTTCTACAGTAAATTTGCTATATGCAATATGTCTGATTTTTTACTGTTGTTCTCATGTTCATTGATCATGGCTCCAAGCAAAATAAAATCTTTGACAACTTCAGTCTTTTCTCCATTTATAATGATGTTGTCTATTGGTGCATTTGTGAGGATTTTTGTTTTCTTTGCATTGAGTTGTAATTCATATTTAAGGCTATACACTTTGATCTTCATCAGCAAGTGCTTCAAGTCCTCTTGACTTTCAGCAAGCAAGGTTGTGTCATCTACATATTGATGTATAGACTCCTAGAGTTTCAGGAGTATTATTAAGACCACATGTGAACTTGGCTCCCCTGGGAAGCCTCCTTTTCTGGCAATGTCCCAGACCTTTGGAACACTGTGTTAAAAAAATCAACATTATCCATACCTCATTTGACATAGCTCTCTGTTGAGCATATTTGGGGATCCCAGAAGTTAGACAATAACAGATAGTACCTCAGGCAATTTTATAAGATTTCAGTATTTGAAAGGATTATTGTTTAATGTGGTTGTTTGTTTGGGGGGAATCTCAGTTTGTACAGATATCAAAAGAAAATATCCTGGACCAAGCAATATTCTCTCTGCTTTAGTTCAACTGATTTGATTTCCCAGGAATCAAACATCATGATCTCCTTACTAGTAGGAGTTGGGAGACCATGGTGTTTGAGCATCTTTCTAAAGAAGTTGACAGCTGTCCATGGATTATCAAATTCTGAGAACACAGTCTATTTGTGTTTGGTTCATAGGGTGTTTCAGATTTTCTCTGATGGTTCAGAGGTAGTTGATACAATAGGAACAAAATGTTGTACTATTTGGGGGGGGCTGTCCATATTTAGGTATCTGGCAATGTGTTAACTTCATTATTCATATACTTTTTTCTTACAAAGGCAACTTGTGGCATCGCAGAACCCATGAAGATGAAGCAAAAAATAATAATCCTCCAACACCACAAAGACCTCAACTGTAGCCCTTAATAGCTGGAAGAACTCGCAACATCTAGAACTCTACTAAAACTCTTGAAACCTCACTATAAGCTAGAGTAAATTATTTCTGAATAAACATGAGCACCACCAAGAGAGACCCTCCATTCCTTACACTAATACATTTTCCTGGACTCAGTATAGGACTCCTTAGAGGTTTACATTTTCTCCTTTGCCAAAGATTCTTGTTCCAAATTATCTTATTCAGTTCTCTTTCTCTGTGTGCAGCTTTACCAATTACAATATTTAATTGGCTCTGTATGAATGGCTTTGGATCTATAAATGAACTCACACTTTCAGAGAGTTTAGAAATGGTTTCTTCTGACTGACAGAAAACTTACTGATGAGACAGAAAGAGATAGAGAGATTCTCAGGAAGATTAAAAAGGGGGACAAGGCAAGCAGGTTTGTCTGTGTATCTTCCTTGTGTATCCAATCCTTGCCAAATGCATTTAGAAACTTCAGAAGGTCTTGTCTAGTTGATTGACATGAGAACTAGATCCCATGGGCTTGTCCTGTTAAAATGATCATTTGAATATTCTTGTAGGTGTGATAATTGTGCTTTTTCTACAAACCCTTTGTGTTTTTCCACCTGTGTATGTATGTCTTTGTACATGTTTAGGTAGTGCTCTCATGGCTGATTGGGCCCATTGGCTGGAGCTCACTCTCTACAGCAACCATACAGGCTCCCCTACTATTGCCTTGATATTAGGCTGCATGCCTCCAGAGTGTTTGCCTGCATTCTTGCTGAACTTTGAAGCTAAATATTTTGCCACTGTGCTGCAGTTTACATGATGTACAAAGGCATTAAGATGTGTGTATATATATGTATATATATAAATATGTATGTATGTATATATATATACATATATATCATATATGAACTGAAAATAGAACTCAACCTCTAAGTAACCCTATAATTTTTTGTGCTAACCCAGGAATCCCTCCCCAGCCTGGTCCCACCCACCCCATCACCATTACCCTGTATACATACATATATCTCTACAAACTGCCCTAGTTCTTGGTGGAGCTGCTAATCTTTTGGTGCATTTTCAGTGTCTTAGAAGTGGCTGGGACCTACATATAGCCTAGCTGATTGTGACACCCCCTTCAAATTCTGAGCCAGGTCATATAAATAGGAATTAAGAATACCAATATAAGGAAGCTAAACTGGCAGGCTGCCTTATTTGCTCTATTGTCCGTGTTATCCCCTCCCCAGTAAAAAGACCCATCTGGACCAATCAGGCTTTGAGTTCTGTGACTTGAAGGGCTGAGCTAAGGACTGCTGTAACAACTAAGTTACAGCTAGGCCCTTCCCCACAAGCTCCATCTTGACTTTCATCTTTTGAATAAGCTGTTTGGTCAGTCCCTAAACCACCTTTGAATCTCCAATCTTGCCCCTTTCCCTTGACTGGAGAGGAGCATTCAGATTAATTGGGATTAGGGAACAGAGTTAAAAGCGTTATTTCCTTGTGACTCTTTCCCAAACTTCTCATGACAGCAAACTAGGCTTAAATTACTCCAAATCCTATTTTATATTTTTTAATGTCTTCTCCCAGTCAAACAAATGTGATCAAACTCCACCCTCCACCCTGCATTCCCACCTCACTTTCAAATCACACTTTTGTGTAAGGGTCCCATTCTACTTATCAAGAGAAAGCCAGAAATGACCTCTTCTCGCTTCTCAGACGAACTTAGTGTGCTCAGAAACCTGACTTAGTCCACTGGCTGGTTCATCAAGGTGCACAATATAGACTCTAAGCACTAGTTCTCAACTCTGGGACTCTACCAGCCTAGCCCACTGAAACCAGCAATTTTGTTTCACCTCTGTGGGGGTGAGGAGAATAATGCTAATAAGAGGGTAGTCCCCAAACATCTGATTGCTGTGCCAAACAAACAAAATGTCCTAGCTCTACAACTAGAGAGGAAAATCAATAGGAAAAAGTGAGAAGAAATATTTAAAACTTATCTAAGCATTAGACTATGTTAATGTATATTTTGGGTGAGGAGTGTTCTGTTGTTGTCCTTGGTTTTCCATGCATCACTCTTTCCCCCAGGATGCAATATGAGTATCAAATCAACAAGGTCACCATTGCAACCTATTTGACTTGGCTCCTTTGTGGCTTCACACCTTAACACATGTACAAACACATACTCATGGAGTTGAAAACAAAGTTGTTTTGTTTTTTCAGAAGATTCTTCAAAAGTGGGCAAGCAAACTTAGGAGAATAGAAGGAATTCCTGGGAAAGGGTAGCCTTAGCTTGTCAGTGTCTTGAAATTGTTTTAACCACAGATAACAGTCAACTATAATAGAACTCCATTTCTTGTGCTTACTTTGCTGAAGTTATATTGGTCTTTGTATCTTTGATCTGTTGTACCATCTGAATCCCCTCGCACACACTCTATCCTCCCATCCTGAGTTGGAATGATATTGAATGAAGCCACGAGAATTCGGAGTAGGAGACAGCTCATGAAGTAAAGTTTTATAGGTGATGAGGCCTGGGAGCAGGCATGGTTTGTCAAATGTCTCGGTTACCTTCTAACTATTATTTACCAGTACCTTCCAAAAAATTAAAGCAGTTTGGTGAGAATGTGTTATTGCATGTACCAGCTTAGAAACAAAACAAGAAGTAATTCCTCTTTCCAGGGTTTGCCTTAGCCCCTGGGAGCATAAACACCTTTCAGGATGTCATTTTAAACTGCTTGCAGTAATATAGTTATTCATACAGTGGGACCAAACACTAAGTATCTATCTCGATTGCATTCACAGACACCATTAGGAGCCAAAGCTTTTGGGGGTTTGGTTGCAACTTTGGTAGTGCTGCGGTATTGACTGGGTGACCATAAGAATGGTGGAGAAGGAGGAAGCCAGTAGATTTGGGCTGCTACAATTCATTTGGGTGTAATACTACAGTCAATCAGCAACTATGCTCAAAAAAGGCACTATGCTGCATCCAATAGTGTAGAAGAAGCATGAGGAAGAGATTCCAAACTATAAATTTGATTAAAGGTTGACTATAAGAAACATCAAGTTTCCAAAGAAGAAGTAGAATACTATTACCAAGGTAATCAAACCCCTTAATATTCCATCCTATAAAAAAAACTTACATTCACTATGTGGTTGGTGTAATTGCATTAATCTATTTGTCCGCTAATCTATAATCCCTTATTGTTTTCAGATGTATGTTTTCTTGTTCTTTCAAAAATCCCTACAAATAATCAGCAGGGCCGGTGTGTGGCTGGCAGCAGATCCTAGTGTAGTAATATATCAACAGGGAAAAGTGGAAAGAAAAGGTTCATAATGTGTGCCTATTCTTCCTCCCCCACAAAATGTAACACCAGCCCTCAAAGGTAATAAAGTACTGCTTCTCAAAATATTTTATTAATGAATAAACATATTAAACAACAGTGCCTTATCATTTTCCTAAGCATGGGGGAACTGGAATTAGGGTGGATATCAGAGGGTGGACTCTGGTGGTGAGGAAACAGTATTGAGGCCATGTATGGCTTCCTCTGGCTCCCAAGGCTGACTGACTCAAGACAGAGGTCAGACATGCCTCCACTCTCTATCCTTACTTACTGTATTCTGACACAAACTGTCCCTCCCACAACTCTACTATTCAGCTGGGTTTAATAATTCATTGTACTGACCATGCAGACAATGCTCACAATTATTAGGTTTAACAGGGAAGTTAACAAATCACAATTCAGGTAAGAAATGCTCAAGACATATTTGTTCAGTCAAACAGTTTATTATCTGTTGTGCCCACAGGCAGGCCTCTCTCTGGCCCTCAGTCATTTGACCTGGCCTCTGCCCTGCTCAGATAATGTGATAAAGTTCTTTTAGGGCTTCCAATAAATGTCCAAAGGTCATACTACTCCACTATAAGTCTCAGCCCGAAGGCACTCAGATCCCCAAATTAAGTGCTAGAAGCCTCCCAGTCCAAGCCAGGCATCCGCTGAAGAACACTCAATTTTAGTTGCTCTGTCTCATGCTTTAGTTCCTGGTTCTGTTGCTTTTCTACCATTCCCCTGGTGTCACAAAGATTTCAGGGTCCGAAAGATGCACTCCACTCCAGTCTCCTCTCTTGCTGGTAGAGAACTCACCCCTTCCTGGTTCTGAGGTGGCTCAAGATTGCAATAACAATTTATCATGTTAATTACATCTGAATCATGTAACCTGATCAGTATCCCCCATCTTCTTACCCAGACCTAACATGGAAATGAAGGTGTTTTTGTGGAAGTAACAAAGGCTATAGCTAGAGGAGTCAAATTAAATAATTCACTGTATTTTCTGTGACCATACAAGCTTTAAACAAATCACATGCAACTAGCGAAGGAGACCTCCAGCCACACACACCAAGAATCTCCATTAGGGTTCATCATAACACCAAATAGGCTCATACAAAGAACTCTAAAACCTAGTTGCAGCTAAGGACAGTCCTTTGGGGAAAACCCTGCCTGTGTAGTTGTTTGGGAAGCCAGTTCTCTGAAGGATGTAGACCTCGATGTTCCTGGGGAGGTGAAGTTGAATAAAGGATCCAGACTGCTAAATAAATGCATAAAACATCCTGAAAAACTTTTGACAATACAATGCAATATATCTTTTGGTCTCTTTACTTCTGCTTCCATGAGCATTGATTATGGAACCAAGCATCAAAGAACTGAAAATCATATCAGTGGGTGCCCGTTTTACTGACACAATCACTGAAGACAAACGTGTGCATAAGCAAATGTGGTGAAGAGAGCT